TGTTAAAATGGGTTAAAAATAAAGCTTTAAAAAACCCTCATAACTTTGGAAGGAATCAAGATTTTTAAAAACGGTTTGCGGCATTGTAATCAAGGTAGAAATGTAGTTCGAAATAATGGGTCACAACCCCACCTTTATATTTGAAAAAAATATTTTGCATCCAATATGGCGGATCCAAGATGGCGGCCGGAAATGACCACCTTGTCAAAATTAAGTACTTACTACCCAACAATGTTTGGAAGTGGTCTGGGATTGATATTTGAAAAAATGTAGAAAAAAGTTGGGGGGGGGACAATTAAAACTCACCCTGTATATATATCTCAATTCCTTATTAAATTCTGAATCGATTGGTGCAAGTCCCACGCATGTATGATTTTTTTTAAGTTATAGGACTTTGAAATTTTACTATGCAAAAGGGTCATTTTGAGAAAAACTGTTTTGAAAATTTCTAATACGCATAAAAACTGTGTTTTTTGTATTTAAGAAACGATTTTGGTATCAAAATAAAGCTTATAATGTCCTCTTTAAAAGAAATACAAATTTATTTCTTAACTCACGGTAGTTTTCATTTAAATAATTGTTTTATTGAAGCAAGTTGTAACAATCGCTTTCAGAAAAGGGACCTCTTGTCAGCCCTATGTTATTTCACCATAAGACAAGAAAAGGTACCTCTTGTCGGGATTGCAAAATTTGTGAGATATTTTGTTCTTTGTGAACTAAACTTTGTTGTAGTTCTCTAAATTTCCACTAAAATGCAGGACAATACATTTTTTGGACTAAAATCTGTTTGAAAAGGGAATATTAGAAATGGGACCTCTTGTCGTAATGGCGAAATAACATTGAGCAACAAGAGGTACCTTTTCTAGACCGTGCAGAGGCTAACAAAATGATTTATTTCGACCTTTTGCAGCTTCAATTCGAGATTTTAACCGATACTGTCATGTTCTATGTTAAATGAGGTATAACAATCGATAAAAACTGGAAATTCAATATTTTCGACCTTAATTACTTATATCGGCCGTACTGAAAATTTTGCATCTCCGACAAGAGGTCCCTTTTCGCTTTCCACATCACATAGCTCAAAACTGACACACAAATAAAATTAACAATCAATAATTGATTGAATACTTTTCCATCAACTTTCACACTAGTTGTGTATTTTTTTAGATGGGCCTCTTGTACTATCTCTGTCATCATTAAGTGTTTTTTTTTACTTTAAGAAGTTCAGTTTTTCAGTGTTGTATCTTATGCAAACTTTGTCAAATGTGTATGAGGGTTTTCCGTAAATTCAGGTCTCCAATGAGCCCTCATAGCAGAATGAGCAAGCTAGTTCAAATCTAACACCAGTGCCGAGTTCTTACTTTGTTAAATACCATTCTAGCAGGTTAGGTTGTCACCCCTAGACGGCTGATAACAATGTGAGAAGAAATAAAGTCCACGGCAAAGAATGAATCAATGAATTAATTACAGTATTTTGTGTTCTGTGATTATATTTTCTCTGGTCTAAAGGTTCAAGGCGTTTATACACCTTGTAAAGGTTAACCCCTATTAAAGACCACCACCAGTTGATTGAGACATATGGAGAAAAGTGTTTGGATGTATTAAATTTGTCCAAGGGGTGAAAGGGAGTTTATGGAGTAGTTATACAGTAGTTATAAATATTTGTACGATGTTTACGATGTGTTTGATGGTGTAGACAGGCTGGAGTCTGCAGTCATCAAAGTTCCTCTGTTTATGGCCAAGTTAGGTAAATTTAGCATACAGATAACAGTTTGACTGAACAAGAGGTTACCGAATTGATATAAAACGTTTAATACTATCATCAACGATAAACCTATACCAAGGTACACCTATCTACCTTGGTAGTCTGAAATGTGTTGAGCAGCAGCAGCAGGCAAAGTTATATAAACTTTTATCTCTGTCTTGATGGAAACTTATGAACTACCACTATTGGCTCTGTTGTAGTCGTGCATATATGTATGACCCTCCCCATAGGGGCAGGAACCAGCTATAGTAGTAGTGAATTTGAATTAATTAAAGAACACAGTGCTCGTGTAAGACTTATATTTTTGCTTGGCCACAGCACGAACCCAAGGGGGCCTTTAATTTATTGACAGCCCTCGTATTTCTCAAATGTCCATAGCTAGTGCTATGTTTCACATCATTTTAGACTTGCTGCCTCTTGTTACATTTCTTGTTGCTTGTATAAATTAGAATAAGATAACTGTCGAGGTACACAGGATGAAAATGAAAGAAAGGCAAAGATTATTCACTAGAATATTATTCAAAAGTCTAATGGTGTCTGTCTGTGTGTGTGAACGTGTTACTCATTATGTAAATGTTACTGAACAGATTGGTCTTAAATATTACTAGTGTACCTGTTGCTCGAATTCGAGCAATTGCGAAGCATTACAGGCGACTCAAAGATTATGGAAATACTCACGATCTACACAACAGTTAGATATAATCAAAATCTTTTGTAAATATCTTATCTTTTTTCAAAAAGCTGATCTTGTTTTTTAGTGTTTTTAGGGTAAAAAAAAACATTAATTCTATTTCTTCTACTTGGTTGTGTTCTATGACTTTTTCTATGTTTCCATTGTTTGCAAATCGGTTATTTCAATGATTGCTCAAGAAATGTAGCACAGTGTTCAGTCCAGTTTTATTCAGTTTTATTTTTAGCCTATATCAAATTGTCCAGGATTTCTCGCTCTTTTCCATTGTAATAATTACACCAACCCAAGTTTCGTAGCCTACCAAAGAATATCACCTACGTACAATCTCCAAGAAGTGGTAAAAAAGGCAGAAACCAACCCATACAATAGATATAAGTTGACTCCATAAAAAATAATTTTAAAAGTTACTGTGATATTAGGATTTTCCACTGATTTGGTAATAGAACATTATATTGCAAAACATGACACGATGCAGAAGAAAATCAATTTTAAAATCAGAAAAATCCATTGCAAATACTGTACTTTATTTTGACAAATTCAATAAATCACAATTTAAATATTAACAGCTGTTGCAAAGTAGTGTAGAATTATGCATATGGTCGTAATGTAAACAAATCTGAAGAGGCAAATTTAAAGGCTTCTGGGGCAGAGCTCCAAGGGAATTTACCTCTTTCCTCTTTTGATGGCTCATCTACAGACCAAGACCTTTCTTTAGAGACCCCTACCAAGTTTCTACGCCCAGCCGTTCTCTCAAATTAGCTGTGACAAAAACCCCGTTTTCCTCCATAAGAATAACATGGGATGGGAATTTAAAGGCCATGGGGGCAGAGCCCCAAGGGAATTCACCATGTTTCTCTTTTAATGGCTCATCTACAGACCAAGACCTTTCTTTAGACACCTCTACCGAGTTTCTACGCCCAGCCGTTCTCTCAAAATAGCTGTGACAAAGACAGTTTCAAATTAATATATAGATAAAAATACACCTATTATACTGAGAAATAACTTCAGAAATCTCGGACATCCATAAAGCTTGGCTGAAAAACAGATGTGTCACAATGAGGGCCAGAAGATTCCCCGATTTGGAGGCTAAGTCCGTTTCCGTGACCTACAGGACTGGGAGGAAATCTCTCCCTTGGGCTATCAACTAAAGCAAATCTAGCTTTTGCAGGAAACTTCAGGAAAATGTTGACTCTAATCCTTAGGGACTGGGCTACAAGTTTCTAGCCTAAAAATTTGGCTTCTGATCTCTACCTTCCTTCATGGAGGGCCCCATCATGGATAGGATTGTCAACACCATGTTTTCATCTTATTCCCAGAGGCCCTATTTTAATTACAGCGGGGTAGGGGACATTCTTCTCTTTAGCATCGAGAGCTGGAAACATCGGTTCTCTCCCTGAAAAATATAAAAGAATTGTAAAAAGTCTTGGGTTTTACGTATATTATAACAGTTTATGAAAAAAGAAAAACGGGAAAGTATGAACACTAAAATTATACGTTGAGGTTTTTGTTAGTTAATATTGTATAAATATACTACATTTTTGTAGTAAGGGGCCGTGCTCTGAATGTTTGTACTGGGCTCCGCACCATCCAAGGCCGACTCTGAGTCAATGACATCTCTACTTCATGAGTGTGTTATAGTCAAATCTACCTTTCACTGGAGGAAGTAGTCTTCCAAGTTACAAGTTCGCAATCAGTCAGGGTGGCGATCAAACAGTGATTGTTTAGTGACATGAATGTAAAGGCTTTGGAAATGTAATGAGAAAATTATTAAGTTGATGGACAGAAGTTGATGAGTAATTTTAACAGATGAAGCATAATGACAGTAGGTTGATCAATTTCTTTTGCTTTTCAAACCCATATAAAAAAAATAAAATAAAAAAATGAACATGAGGACTTGGTTGCAGTAGTGTTGCACTCTGGGTTAACTCTCAACTTGTTCAACTATAACTTTTAAATGTTTCTTGACTTTTGATAACATTAACCTGGGTTTCTATGACTTACACACATTACACCTGTATGCTAACCTGCTAATGTGAACAGGTTTGGTTCTACTTGGCTTGTATGGGTATTCCCAATAGTGGTAAATTTAACAGTGTGGGAATACTCTGTGCCGTCTCGGAAAAACCTGGGGTGGCCTACTAATATATGAGGTTTTTGGCGTTACCACCCCACTACACGTTTGGGTATCCCCATTGAAACTTTGTATCCATTGCAAGCTCCTGTAGATATTGGACGATCCTTTCATTTTTGACATGAGTGACATTCATGCATGGTGCAGAATTTCAGCTGGATGCAAATGTTTTGGAGCTAGGAAACTTCCCCAAGTTTGCAGCAGACTGTCAATTCCTACCACTCATATATTCCCACAATTGCTTTCTTTTCAGACTCTGTCATAGTTACTCACCAAACCTGACTGAGAAGGTTTTTGAACCTTAAATCTGTCTGAAATCTTTGCTTTAAAAACCTATTTATTCATAAATAAAATGTAAACACTTCTGAAAACACTAAAAGGAATTAAAGGTTTAAAGGTAAAAAAAAAATATGTTTCAAATTTTCATCAATATTTTATTGAAGACTTCAGTAACAGTGTGATGACTATTTACCTGGTATCAGAATCCTAGGATCTTATTCAATACAATCGTTAACCGTTAACAAACATTACATTGTCTCATGTTTTAACATCATTTTCAATATTTTAAGCTGAATCTCATGATTATGAGTAAAAACAACAGATGATTTAACTTTCTTAAACATATAGCGGCATTTTTGAGAGTGATCATTTCATTTAACCCCCGTCATATAGTGATGGAGTACTCTACCTAATGAGTTGAAAATAGATAAAGTAAAAAAAGATTATCACCAATAAGCAATTTTATTTTGATTATTACCCATTACTTTAAAACCTATTTACTTAATCTTTTTCATAATATCCAGGTAAAAGTAATTTTTAAAACCACATAATAAGGTTGTTAATAAAATTCCCCAAACATTGTAATACATATATTTCACATCTTTTGGATCAAATTATCCGTTAAATTATTATAGAAAGTTAAAGCATCTATTGAAGCACATATAAAGTGAACATTTTATACAATAGCCTACACAGAACACACACATCAAGAAGTCACAATGCAACCTTTTGAAATGATTTATTGTATATTTAGAATACAAAATCACTGATTTTGAAAATAAATTTAACTTCTCTAAGGACAAAGAAATCTTAGTTCTCAAAATATACAGCTTCGCGATATGTATCGAATAGATATTTTTAATTATTGCTCGTTACATTCTTGCAACAGTCTCATAGAAAGTTTTAAGTAAAGGATTACAATTTTCAATAAATACAATTAAAATAGTCTGTACCAGAGTATTTTTATATTTTTTACCAACGGACGGGGCTAAAAAGGAAATGCTCTACAAAATTTGTGCTAAAATTTTCATCACTGATATTAAACCTGTATCATAATCAGAATACATATTTACATTTTCTAAGAACCAAGGCTGAGATGCTGTGTTAGTGATCTTGAATACAATAAACCATTTCAAGATACCCAGCATGTGTTAACATTAGCTTTACTATATTGCCTTATCTATAATGTTAAATAACATTCCCATTACAAAAGTAATAGGTGTAACAGTACAGTCTAATCTTTGGTTTTCAAGCTGTTTTCATAAGGAAAAATCAACAGAAAATGCTTAAATTAAATACTTTACATCAACTTGTTATTGCACATAATATAAACTTTGTAATTATTTTACAGTGACTAGTTTTAATTTACAAGTTTTATACTAGCTTTGATAAAACTACAGTTAAACAATCGGAAAAAAGACGATTAAACATGAGTGGGTTTTAAAAGGAACTTTGGTGCTCAAATAGATAATTTAAATGATAATATTTTTCAATTCAAATACTTTTTACATTTTTTAACGAAATAGCAGTGCTTTAATGAAAAATAATATATAGATAGATAAGTTGAATTGTGGAATAAAAATGTATAATACATTAAAGTCCTCTTTAAATAGTTTATTCTAATTTAAAATATATCACCTGCAAAATATATTGTTATCAAGTTTTATCTTGTCTATTCACATCAATATCATCAAAATCAATTAATGAACAGACAATTTTGGCAGTGGGCAAAAGTAAAACTCGTCAGATTAAAATTAAGTTTTAATGTCTTGGGTAAAATACCTTGTTTCTAATCAACTAATTTAAAATTTAGATAACAAATTAAGTGGTTTATTGTTTTACACCTCAAAATGATGTACACATGCAGTTTTATGATACAACAACTCTATCAACATAGAGTGTTCATTTAGTCTCACCAAACAAGTATGCAACCTAAAGTATTTCATGTGTCATGATCTATAAGAATTTATGGCAGTATTTTTTTTCAATCTGCAAACATCATCTGGGTTTTTTTCCGCTAAGGCACAAAAGCTTAGTGGCTATTGTTTGAGAAATATATAAATTTGGAGAAACCCAATTCCACTTATTTTTGTGTACTCCTAAAATAACAACATCAATACATGGTTAAACAGCTAACATTGTAAAGATCATTCTCTATAATTTTGAACAGTGTAAATTTCAGTATTGTATTAAAATAGCTGTAAATTTTCAGTTGCAAGGTTTGAGCAGATACACCAGAAATGCGGTACTAACTTTTCAATGAGAAAATTAAAACATTCATTCGATGCGGATTCAAAAATCTGTCAAGAATGAAACCCAACAACAATTTTACATAATATATTAACAACATTTATGAAAAAGAAGTAAGTATAAAACATACATACTAAAAGATATGTATACAGCACTTTTATTATAGAACTATTTCACTACAGAGCAGCAAAATAAAGTTGCAATATTTTTATATATTTTTTAAACTTATATGAAGTAAATGATCACAAAATATCATGAAAACAGTAAACAAATTGAAGAGGCCTCCTTATAAGTATATTGATTCTTAACACAATTAATGGGTAATATAAAAGTCCTTAATCTACTTGTATATTGTCTTAATTTCTTTAGAGATACATTTTATATAGATATTCTTTTCAAAACTAAATTCTTTCATTGTGCACCCACATAATTGCCATGAAACCTCACTTTTTGGTACAAATTAAGTAAGTATACTGTATCTAAAAAAATATTTGTTAACAATAAAAGCCTTTGTAACGAATGTACCTACATGTTCAATTTATTTCAAAACATTCACTTAGATCTAGTTTCGTTTTGATACACCAATTAAAAGTATAAAATATTTTCGTTAAGATATTGGCGTCTAAAATTATCTAGCAAACGTTTACCACACCATTATAATTTTTTTTGATCTTATAAAAATGGAGGCCCACTACTCTAAACTATGACTCCTAAAGAATTCCCTACAAGAGATTGGAAAAATTCCTCAGAGAAACATAGCTGCCAAACGGCTAACATGTTTAACAACATTTGTTACTCTTACTGCTTATTAATGGTATGACATTAAGACACTTTATGTTTTATTATTTATAAACACACCAACTCGTTTGTGTGAACTGCGATGGACATTAAATACTGGTTATGAGTTTAATGACAGCAAGATTAATGAAAGTGCCCACTGAAAGCTTCACTATAAGCGTTACACTCAACTGAAACTCTACAATAACAGTCTACGAAGATCTGAGAATCATTGGTTATGTATTATCAATGTTATGATATCAACAGTTTCATAATAAGTAATAATTAAATACATACATCACAAAACTTAGGGTCGACTGTAAACATATTTTTGTCAAGACAATATTTAAATTGTTTTTGATACAATATAACCATTGCATGAATATTTTTGTGCTAGAAAACCTCTTTCATACTAAATTACATAATACAACTTACAATGGAAAATACTATAAATAAGAATGTTCTTATGAGAAGTAATCATTCATTTAATTACAAAACTGTTTATACATCAACTATTACAACATTCCAATTACACTAAGATCACCTTCGATTTTGTATTGAGTATTTACCAGGTAACGTATAGTGAATCTATACGAGAATGAAACAAAGTCAAAATAAATATTAACGTATCACAGTGAATCAACTAGTAATATACATCAATAACTTAACATGAATGTCATAACATTTATAATAATAACCAATTTCATAATTTACATATCGCCGAAGATTCCTGCAAAGGTTTTCCGCAGGTTTTTCATTGTGTCTTCTGTGTCCTCACCTCCGCCCGGACCTCCTACACTGCCCGTGGTGGATCCTTGACGACCAAAAGCTGCTCGCTGACTCTGAGCCGAGTCTTCCGTTCGTCGCGCTGCTGACTGCTGACTCACGCTGCTCATTGTGCTGCTTTGCGATGCTGCAACAAATGGTCTTTACTACTCACCGCCGCTGACAACAAACAAGAAACACTCGTAACAACGATTACCTTACCTTCCTTGCTGGCAAATAGATCACTTCAACATCAGGCAGCAGTCCCTAGTGTTTACAAGCAATATTAAAAGCAATGGATCTACTAAATGTGTTTTTCTCGCCATGCAAATGAATTTAGTGAACCAAGCATAAAAGACTTTTTGATGATAAAATGTTGACTTTATAATGCAACTTACTAAGCTATCCACTAACAAGCTTTTGTAGTGAATTCTTTTCATGAAATCTGACAGATTAATATCCATAATGGCTTTATTGGAAGCTTTGAAGACATCTTTGACAGAAATTTAAGTTTCAACTTCTCAAAACAATTTATTTCTAAGTAAGAACCAGTAAATAATGTGTGTTTCAATTATACTTAATTTCAATCTATTTAGTAGTAAATAATTGTGATAGCCTATTTATCACTCTGCTGTCATAACAGTATTGATTCATGATAACATAGTTTGCCGTAGCAGAGGTGTATATCTCTATACCAGAAGTAATAGGTGGGCTTAATCCTGGTATTGGTAGTGTGGTTTGTGTGAACCACTCTTATGCTGCTTGGTTGAGCTTGGATAACAATGATTAAAATGGTTCAATACCAGTAAATAATTTTAAACCACAAGTATTTTGATGCCAAATTTACCATAAAATGGCCAAATAAACACTAACTGATATTAACAGGTTCGCTACGGCCCACCAAAGGCGCAACGTCGAGCGAACTTGTTTGGCTTTAAAATATTTCGGTCTGATGAATAGCAAATGACGTTCAGTGATTGCTGCGTTACGACGAGAGTCGACGTAGTTTGCTGAAACACTCAAAGATAGCAGCATTGTCTGGAACTAGCTAGCCAGCCTCATTTTATTGCCAATTGAAGGGAGAAAGACGGGTCAACAAGTTGATTTCTAAGCTTGCCAGAAGGGGATTTCACAGGGAAATTTACTACCAACCTACACCAAAATAAAGCAACCATTCCTTACTAAAGACAGACATAAAAATACCCGTTCTTCCCGGTGTGCGGTTGCGCAGAAATTGAATCCAATATAGGCAATACCGGCACTCACCGGTGTGCGTTCAGCGTGGCAGAAAGGAACTAGAGCACTCACCATAGTGAGTGGCCCGCAGCAAACGTGTTATCTGATGATTATTTAGTATGGAAATTTAAGGAACAGTCCAAAGCATGCCACTCAATCCAGATATTTAGGGCTTGCTATACCGGTACATTTTGATTTAGTGAAACTCCGTATACTATTTTTAAACTTAAGTAAATAATATTTTAAACCAATTCTAACCTTGTTAATTTTATTTATTGAAGAAAAATCTGACTATTTAAAAACCTGTTACAGATGTTCATAAAAGTCACTAACCAGAACACTTAAGACTATTTTATACTTATTTTTTTACAATGTTGATACACCAAGGGGTAAAGATGAATGGAGTCTACGAGTCTTGAACTCATGAGATAATTAATGGCTTTGCTCTTGCCTGAATTCTTTTAGGACTATTTGTTAAGTGTCGTGTCAAGGACCTTCTTAGTGGATAAAACTAGCAATCTTCTGATTGTAGATCATAAATCCAGTCTTTTGAAATGACACCCACCTTGTATATCACTATCAGCCCTTTTTAATACAGCTTTAAGGCTATTCGGTCATGGACGTTATTTTCATATTTCAAATTCATTTGAATTAATTAACTTAATTGAGAAGCAGTGTTGTAAAATCTATAAAAAAGTGCCTTAACCTAATAAATGGTTATTTATTAATACCACTTGAACTAGGCCTACTCTTACACAATACCATTATATGAACTGTGGTGTAAGTACATCCCTGAAAAATAGAAAAGTTTCTGGCCCTGTTGAGATTCCCGGGAGACTTCCTCTAGAAGGAATTTTCAATCCAACCAATGGCCTAAGTACATTGAGCGGCGCCCCCCACACTACATGTGGATGATGCCCATGTGAAACATCGCCACTCATGTTTTATTCGTTTATCTCAGCAAAAGCCGTTATCGCGGGAAAATCCAAAAACTCTCGTGTAAGTCTTTTCACCATTCGGTTACAAAAACTTCATCATCATTTTCCGTGATCGTGGCAACCTTGCTTTACCACCTTGGTGGGGGCCTTTTCTTGTACATCATCCGTGGTATTGAAGATATCACCATCGTCTCCGGAGGTCATGGAAACAGTGTCATATTTTATCCGCAATTTCTGCGAAATCATAAATTTTTTCTTTGGTCTTGAAGACATCATCTTTGTCTCCCACGGTCACGGTAACAAAGTCATCTTTTTCTGCGATTGCGACAAAATCATGAATATCTTCTTCAGTCTTGTAGTCATCATCTTTGTCTCCCACGGTCACGTAAACAATGTCATATCTTTCCGCAATTGGGGGAAAAATCATAAATTTCTTAGTTGGTCTTGTAGTCAACATCTTCGTCTCCCGCGGTCACGAAAACGACGTAATCTTTTTCCGCGATTACGGCAAAATCATAGCTATATTCTTCTGTCTTGAAGGCATCATCTTCGTCTCCCGCAGTTATGGAAACAAAGTCACCTTTTTCCGCGATTGAGGTGAGCGGTGGCAATCGGACCTCAGAACCCCCTGGACTTCGGCGCCCCCTCGATTGCTGCACTGCAGGGGTTGTGGTGTTGTTATTTATACCACTGTATATGATTAACGGTTGTAATGATTTGCTTCAAAATTTGTTTGGTAGAATGAGAAAAAAATCAATGTGATAAACAAAGAAATGTGATAAAGACCAGCTTAAATTCTTGTGGAATACAGGATAGTTTTCTCCTGACGTGCATAATATAGTGTTAACACAGGTATTTAAACTAAACATATGTAACAAGGATTTTATCTGAAAAATCTTCTCTATTTCAGAGATATGTAATTAAAAACCAACACAATCTTTTGGTAAAATCTAAAAAGTCAGATTTAAAATATTTTATTTTATAAAAATAAATACCAAGTGGAAACTAAAAATTCATAAACTAAAATTTATTTAGTCTAATTTTAATGTCATCAGTTATTAATCATTAAGTACTAACGAGTAAAATTAAAAGTGGACATAAATTACTACACTTATCAAGAATCATTTCAATTTATTTTTCTTCTTTGTACACAGTTAACTAAACATTTAAGAGTTATAGATAACTAACATTAAAATATCACAGGAAAGAATTGGAAGGTACTATATCTTAGATCACAGAAGTTGAAGAAAATATGACTATTTTGATAACATGAAGTAGAACTTTAAACAGTTATCTAAGTGTGGAGTTTTGGTACTTGTATGAGATAGATTGATAGATAAGAGCTACAGCTCATTCCTAAAAGCAGTTACAATTCCTCTTCTCACACATTTAATACTTATATCCTACACACCTTCAGTTATGCATAAAAAACTACTAGACTATGCTTTATGACTGCTTTAAATTAGTCGTAGTTCTTTAATTTATTAAAAAGACGATTATTTTTACTCCAATTTGTATTAAACTTCTATAATTGGATAATTTTGGTTTTAGTGACAGGTAGGTTTACATTTAAAGATATAACTTCAAATTTAAAAGCGCTCACTTTGCTAAAGAAAACACAAGCCATGCACAGCAGTTTTGCTTAAAGCCACAATCTTACCATCAAACTACAACTCCAAACAACTAACTACTTTATCCAGAATAACGGCTAGAAACCGTACAACATTACAAACAGTTTTCTTAGTTAATATTTAGTAGTATACAACATAGAGTATTTTTTTGTATAGAAATCACATAAACTTTTCTTCCATTTCAAAGTTGTGGCTGAAGTACAGTTTAAAACAATGTTTTACAGTCAAACTAGAATATCAATTATACTATCGATACTTAAAAAAATTACAAATAGGTATATCAGTTATTCAGACTATTGTTAGGCTCCCTCAATTCAATTACTTATATCATCAAACTACAAGAAATACAAAAAAATGATTGTCGATACATTGAACTAGTAATATAAGTACCGGTACAACATTGAATTGACATTAATTTACTCAATCTGGAAGTAATTGTTAATCATCTTTACTGTATTATTGCCATTAAAGGTTAGGTTATCCAGTTTGCATCATAGATTCTAATGTTATGCTGAGGATCATGTGGCTGTTTTGTGTACCTATGTGTGTGTAGAGAGATATCTGAGAAAATTCATCTTATCATTGGTGCATGATCAAACAGAAATGATGTTTAAGTAAAACAAATCTAATTATGTGTCATGTTTGAAATACTGATAATTATTGCAAGAAGTTTAATGATGCTTTTATAGGTTGTGAATCACTCAAAACTTGATGCCAGCTACTAGTACATAGCGTTACGCTGGGGCTGCAGACTGTAACGTCGGGATTTACCTTGAGAATCTCGGCGGGGTTGTGGGCTTGTTCCGGAAGCGGGAAGGTCCGGAATTCCCGGTCGTTCCTCCGGAGGAGTAGTGGGGGCAGCAACACTCCCCACAGATCCTCCGTAGCCGCTGGTGGTGCTCTGAACACTGGACATGGAGGTGCGGGAAGCAGTCTTGGTAAGGGTGGCTGGGCGACAGAGTTGCTGAAACAAACAGACAGGGTTTTTACAAAACCTGTAGCTGTGAAATTTATTTAGATGCAGACTGAAAAATGCCTGGGAATAAATCACATATTCCTTAGTGTCCCACCTTCCAAGATTTTTATGAATTTGCTGTGACCAGGCCGAGTTTTTGTTTTCGCAATGGCAGAAAGCGGTTGTGATAAGCGACTATAGGCGATGTTCACCGTTTATCCGCGATTGCAGGAGACATTGATGATGATTCTGCAACAATGGAAGATGTTCACGATTTTGCTGGGACCACCGAAGATATTCTTGTTTCTGCCATGGCTGCAGAAGAGATTCTCCATTTCATGTTAGCTTTGTACTATAACGTCTTTGAAAAAATAATAAATTCTGAAAATTAGCTCAGAATTGACAAATTTTCAAAATACGTTTTATATGTTTTACATTCTTTATTTTTGATTTTTTTTAAGAAATCTTTTTGACAATTTATGGGAAAAATATTAGTCTAAGTCTTTGGAAGGACATTGCCCCTCCATGCTATCAAGCAAGTGTGATGAGTATATGGGGCTAGTTTATGAGTATAGTAAAACTAAAAAAAATTGTAAAATGGTAGTAATGGTGGGATGGCTCAGTTGGTAGCGTCACGGACTTTGGGCCAAAGGCAGCGATGTCGTGGGTTCAGATCCTGGTCACTGCCACAAACATTTTATCAGTACAGTTCACCTTCCTACTGTACCGGCTCACACCCCTTGCTTTGCTGAATACGTTCCACGCACAGATCTGTAGTCTATGTGGACAGGCAAATGCAAGGTTAAAAGTGGGCGCCAACCTCTTAAAAAAAAAAAAAAAAAAAAAAAACTGACTAGTAAGTTAGCTTGTAAAGTCATTCTGTGTAATTGGAACTTAAGACTAAGATTTTTCAGCTAAGCAGCTGGGTATTTATAATTTGCTGGTTATTATGAAATAAGAAAATGTTATTATATTAGCATGATGACGTATATTAAATTGAATTACTTACCTGCATTCTCTGGGTGACCAAGTCAGCGATGTGTCTACGATCTTCCTCCTGAGTGTCTCCCATGAGAGACAGAGCACTGTCGTTGACCTCTATGATGAACTCTCGTCCGTCCCTCGCCACGATCATCTCCAGGGCGCAGATGTCTAGACCTCCAAACATGGCTGCTACTTCGTCCAGCCACATCTTGTACCTATCTGGCATCTGGATTTGCTCAAGCATCGCAGAACCTGTGTTCGTTTTCCAGTTTCCTGATATTGATTTCCTCCTGAAAAAATATTTTATTTTATCCTGGACTGTGAATACTGAATATTAAGTAATCTATGAAAAGTTTCAGCAAACTAATTATGACAGCGAGAAGAATGCATTCAAAATCAAAAGATTGGGACTTTGAATTAAAAATTTGTAATCACCAAGTAAAATATGACATTAATTTGCTCATGCTCAGTTTTTATACCGCATTGGATGTCCAGAAATCAAACTATGTTTACACACTCCATCTTACTATGTATTTCCTCATACTATGCCTCAAACAAGTGGGTCTATAAGATGCTATCCTCAAAGCCAAAGGGCGAACAAACTGATCCTGACAAATCCGGTTTCTAGAAACTTTTAAAATTGTTTTTGATTCCTTTCTGAATGTTATGTATTTGCCATAATTGGCATTATGATATAACTCAAGATTCCCAACCCTATATGACAATTATTTTTGTCATGGTATTAAATCAATCTTAGGGAAAATCAATGCTCTCCCACCAAGTATGAATCACGTACTGTGCGTTTCTGTGATTCTGTGGGATGGGAGACATTAAAATCCTTTGCCAGTTAACGGCTGAGTACACAGAAAGGTGTGTAGACTTATGAAATGTGTATAAGTGGCTGATGGAGTTTGCAGAAGGCCGTACACATCTGCAAAATGAGGCCAGCAGCGGGTGTTAATCAGTTCCCACCGAGACAGAGATTTAAGTGGAGCAGTGGAGGATACTTTGCTTGCTGATCGGCGTGTTTAAGACAATCAGGGTTTACCGTTGACTTTATTGTCGTAGAGAGACTTCCCACAACAGTTAATCGATATCTCTTTCATTCACAGCACAATCCGCATGCAAAATTAAAATTACGCTATGATTATCGGACATTTCATACTTGGCTAGAGCATATATTTCTTCACATAGTTTTTTGATACTATAACGAGACTAAATGTCACACAGTGATGAATACTGTGCTAGAATTAATCATAGTGAATAAGTTAAGAACATGATTGTTGTCTCAGATTTGATTTTGGTAACTTGAAATGACATGGAGCTTAAAGGAGAACTTGATTTACAAATAGTCCTTGTATATAACCAAATACAGAAATTTATTATTGCAGAAACACAAATGTTTAAAAACTCACATGAAAGACTTGTAGTTATCGCCAATTTTCTGCACATGAATGTCGTACTTGCTGTCAACGTAGGGCTCAGTAGTGCAGTAAGTATTGGCGACTGCCACAACTGAAGCCATGTCTTGGAAGTCTGCGTTGTTTTCTACTTTTACTTTTCCCAAGCCACTGTGTGCGTGGCCGATTTTGAACACAACTGGGAATCTAGGTGCACTCAGCTGATGAAAAGAATAAATAGATGAAAATCCTATACTCTAATACGATGCTATGTCTGTTTGTGTGTAATGTCTGTCTGTAATATAAAACTCAAAATCCAGCGGAAGGATTTTGACCAAATTTTGAAATTATAGGGACTTATAGCCCTAAAACATGATTGGCAACAGCCACTACCTCCTGAAAATTTGTATTTTGCCACACAACTCATTTGAAAATTTAAAAATTTAATATTGGCCATATTGGTTAAGTAACTATATTGGTTGAATAAAAAAACAAGGAAAAAGTAAACAAAAGACAGTTTGAAAGGTGTGTCTCTAACAAGCCATCCACTGTATACTAGCAAATTACAAAATACAGTACAAAGGGAAAAAATAAGTTGTAACTATTGAGCAAAGATTACACTGAAGATTACTCGATACAGGGGAATATAGAGCAAGTGTTGATGAGTGTTTGGTGTTGGTGACGTTTGAGTGTGCTGGAGTCAACTGAATGTTTCTCTCTTATTCATGGGTAGATTTTACAATTTGTATGCACTATTTTTTATAGTTTACATAGTTTGGACAGCTGTATTCAGTTGAATTAGTATTTAGGTTACTTGTATTACAATAATGAAAAATAACCACAAAGAATTAATTAAACATTTTTAAAAATTGACATGGGTCCTATGAGTTGCCATGCTGGTGACGAACAAACAACGAAATATAAACAGAAAATCAAAACAAAAGGAAGAAATTCCAATCACATATTTTATTTACAGCATGGGGTGAAAACATAGTAGTCTGCACATTAGATATTTGTGGTCGAGTTTTTGACCACTGGACAACCTCTAGTTATAACTTAAGAGGAAAGTGAAGAATGCAACACTTACTAAAAATAAGGAAAACTTATTTAGTCAACATCAGCTCACTCAAAAACAGGAAAGACGTTTAAAAACATAATTAAATTTTTTAGAGAAGTGCAGTATCCATAGTCAATGATATAGTACATAATAAAACTCAAAACAATGTTATTCTCACCATCTCTCTGAAGTTTGGATAGTAAGTTTGTTCAATAAGAGGGAAGTTTTCTTTGCCTAATCGTCTTTGTATTTGGAGGAGATGAGCAAATACCCAAGGTTTATCCTGAAAAAATACCAAAATGTTATGAGAAATTTATATGGTACCAGAATAAATAAGTAACTTACAAACAAAAGCTTATCATAAAATCAGATTATGCTATGTTTTTGTTTATAATCTCTCATTGCCACTGACAGTGATGAATCATTGTACCAAACACTAACTGCACCACTCATTTAAATTGGCCTGAACAGCTGTTTAGTTGAAGTTTAAAGTATTGCAATTTTACTTCTTTTCTCTCAATCCTTGAACCTTATTGGTCCACTCTAGTTGTTAAGTAAAAAAACAATGCTGTTAAGTAAGTAAACAATGCTGTTAAGTGAATCTTTCCAATTCTAAGAACTGAACTGAAACTAGTTTAAAAACCGGGTCGTATGTTAAATTGTTTACCATCTTTAAAATTGACAGCATAAATTAAAGCAAACTGTGTAGTAAGTGGTTCAATTTCATACCTGGAAGTTATATACAGCATGTAAGGTGTTTATGCTAGGTACTCCTCCAAACTTGAATCCCAAAAGCAGATTCTTATTATCCTCTCCAGCATCCCTGAGGTTTTGTCGAATCAGCACAAAGTCTGGCCTGAATGATCTGAAACATAGCTTTTGTGTGATTTCTTGTTGAGGTCTATTGGTCGAAAACTGTGCAAAATAGATGAAACACTATTTGTGTTTCATTGTTTTGCCTTCAATGTAGAATGCCATCCTGTCAGAAGTTAGGTCTCCCTGTAGGTGGCACTCTATAAGGAGGTTGAAGTATTTTTCATTTTGACACAGATGATGTCCGAAGACCAAGAATATACAGTGTGACAACAGGAGGCCGTTATTTTACCCAAATGTTTTGGTGTAAAAGGAGGAGAGAGGGGGGGGGGGAAGAAAATTGTCAGAGGCAACAGGAGGTTCAATGTTAAGGAACCCCTCATTCAAATATAAGTGTGTAATATATTTTGACGTGGTTGTTGTCCAAGAAGACCACAATCTACAGATAAATAGTTTTCATTACAGGATGAAGGTCTGTTGGCACTATACATTTATATACATACATATAGTCCCCATAAGCAAAAAATACTTGTTCAAATTACTACATACACAAATGTATCTTTAGGCACAATAGCACTTGTAAAAGTCAGGGCCGGATTTAGCATTTTTGCGCCCCTAGGCCCAAATAATTTTCCGCCCCCTAGTCTGGTCACAGTTTTTACTTTCCTTCAAACCTTTATTAAAAACTATATCATGCCCATAGGCCTAAGTTAATTGCTTGAATACCACTCCTCGTTGGAATCATTGCAAGTTTTTTTTTTAATTGACTTGTTTAGCCTTAACAAAATACCGTCTTAAACACTTTTAGCAATTTTATGCTTTTTTTAATAATTGCTCACGTTTGTGGCCGGGGTGGGACTGAAACAAAACAACTGAACCCACCGAGCATTCCTGCAAAAAAACATGGCCATTGATTCCAATTATTCCAGGCCCAAAAGCATGAACTCCATACAGTACGTGACACCATAGATTAAACATACGTACTCCTTTAGTAGATTTGTCATCATTTTGGATTAGCTGAAAACAATTCTTGTTATTTAAAGGGGATGTTTATCTATGTTTAAATCTAGTTTAACCAAAATAAAACGATCTAATCATCAACAATAGGTCGTCTCCTGTTTATATTACAAGAAATTAAAACACACATCATAGAACTAACCCTAAAATAATAGAAACAAAATTACGTCAAAACTAACGTGTCCAGTGTCACAACATGAACTACACATGGAAAAATTTTGAATTGACAATGTTATGAGAAGTCGACTTGAGTTATATTTAATCCATGGTCGTACTGCATCTAGGTTATATTTCCAAAGCAAAACAGAGCAATATTCCGCCCAACCGTACCGATCCTTAGGCCTGAGGAGAAAATGACAGCATTAATGGTTCTTTGGAGGGTACTGTATTGAATTTTTCTAAAATTCAATGCAAACTGAGATTAATATTTTTTCGTTAATTTTAAAGGTAAATTCATTGTTGTTTTGATATTCAACAAAACTTAGCCTATGATATATTTTAACTTGATCCTGCAGATAGTTGTAAACTAATCAAAAGATTAGTTAATAAAAATAACTTTTGTTTTGTGATGTGAGGGTGGTAACAATGTCATGTTTAGCACGCATGCGCCCCTTATCACTCTGATCAGTAGTGCCGAGCCCGACCCAACATAGTGGCAGTGCAGTGGCAATACGATGCGTACCCCTTGGGCGCTCGTCAACGTCAACATCCCTACAGCCTACTCCCGTATAACCAATGTTCGTTAGCAATTTTGCAACGAAATTGATGCGTAATTCTGAAAATATAGTTTAAATTTCATAACAAGTATTTCTTCTTATGAACTTCAGAATCACAATGCTTTGGAGTTTTGTTATCATCTATGACTATTTATTTTTATTTTTAGATAGCCTAGGTATAAAAAAAATACTCCGGCCGTGCGCCCTCTGGGACCTTGTGCCCATAGGCCCGGGCCTACCGGACCTATTGGGAAATCCGGCCCTGGTAAAAGTGCTTCTATTTGATGGCATTTGTATCAAACATGTAAACAAAACAACTATATTTGAGTTTTGAATGACCAGTCTGTGACTAGCCATAGTGATATTGGACAAGGATCAATTATCAATTATCAATTATCAATTATTTAAGAAGGGGACGCCACTGTGTGCGTATTCTCATCCTACACTCATCTCCATTCATACTTAGCTTAAAATACCTACTTAGTATGGTCGCCATTTCATTGAAAAGTATTAAAGTAAAGTAAAGTATTTTAACCCAAATATGAGTGAAGGATGAGTGTAGGATGAGTGGCGCGATCTTGTAGTCTTGTTAGGAGACCTAACGGTACTCTTAATATATCTGCTGTTTATAAATATGTTTTCTACCAATATGAATACAGTACATCCCACAAGGTGAACCCCAAAAACGTACCCGCACTGGAAATTTCATGGATACTCATGAAGACCATTAATGTAAGGATCTATTTAAAACCTTTTTTGGTAGATACACATAAAAAAACCAATGCGGAAACAAATATAAGTTCCGACAAATTTACTTAGTTTAAAAGCAACAGATACTACCTCCAACTCCTAAACAGCAAATGTTTCCAATATGTTTGAATTTGGCATTTGGTTTTTCCAAGCCCTACCTGACGACCTTGGTGCCGTTGCGGTAGACTCCCATGCTGACGGTGGTACCAGAGTCACTGTTGGCTGTCACAGATAGCTCTTTGAACTCCGCTTGCTCCACTCGAATGTCGTAATCTCCATGGAGCCTTCGCCCTCGGAAGTACTTAGACCTGCAACAGATATTGCGTTCAGGCTTTGTTACTATTTACAAAACTTGAAGGATTTCATTTTACTACTGCAAGAATACAAGAATTAAAAAGTTTATTTAAATGTTCTGTGAAAAACTGACAAATTTCAAGCCTATAAGATGGAGTCTGTTCTTCAGACTCAATCTTATAAGCAAAAACATTTGCATCTTGAAGAACCAACATGTCGTACCTTTATCACACTACTTCAAACCATACCTGATTGGCAGCAGTCAGCATACCTTTATCCGTGGTTATTTTTTATTGTGTACCTAAGAGTATTGTAAAACAGGTAGTATTATAATATTTGATATAAAGTATGTAAACTATTACCAGTCGGTGTTTTGGTCATCTATAACAAGGAGTGTGAAGCAGCGGTCTTTGTTGAAGACAGGTCTGCCAGCTGCTCCAGTCACTGCGGCCCCTGGTAGAAAAAAAAAGTTGCCTGGTTATAGAAGAGATTTATGCCTCACAGACAAACACAGATTTAAAATTTGATATATTATTGCCAAATAAAAGTTGTTACGGTTGAATTTAGAAATATAATGCTAAATGAAAAGTAACTTTGCAAAATTGTTCCAGCACTCAACAAGTAGACACAATAAAAACGAACCTACAATTTTTGTAGCAAAGACATTAATGTTTACCAAGTTGTTTTAGGACCTCCTTGCTAGATAACTATATGACAAAAGCATATAAAATGTTTAAAAAACTGTGTATGCCTAACTAATGAAAGTTTAATATTTATAAAAAATATTTAGTGTGAAACTAGCTGTTACCCACGGGCTTCACCCCGTTTGACATCATAAGTATTAATTGATAGTCAAAGGTATTAATAAAACTATTGATTGGTTAAGTTAAGCTGAAATAAACAAAACGGAATATAGTTATACAAACAAATAATCACACCTGATTTTAATAAGGTAATAAATTGAAAGAATAACACACAAATAAGTACAGCTGAGGTATTATTAACATTAGGTACCGGTATATGGAAAGTTCCCTTCAGAAAGGAATTACGACCTTCAAGGGCAATTTATGAAAAAATTGATAGTTTTGCGCAAGGTTTCTTGTCGTGACAAACATTTTAGGTATATGGTTTGGTGACTTATTGTAGTTTTATCAAAAGTTCATGGGTACTTTGTGATTTATATCTGAATGTGGCTAACTTAAGTATGAACTTTACAGAAATATAACTTAGTTTTGTACTGTACAAATAATAAGTTTAATGAAAATACTACAGCAAATATTTACTGCAAGGACAAGAACATTAATTGTGAATGAAGGCATTGACTACATATACCCTACTCATGAAGGTCATATATTGCATTCTGTTAATGATTGGCTGATTACTCCTTATCCTGAAGTCAAACATGATTCCATATTCTCTCTGATGTGTATTTGCTTGCACTGAATTATACAGCATTGTATATAGCTTTTTGAAACAGAATATAGGCTAATATATTCTCATTGGCAGAGAATTATTGGAAAACAGGCATCACAGACACAATGACAGACAAACAGATAGACAGAAATTGAGATAAAGACTCGGTAAAAACAAAACTAACTAAAAACTTCATGGTTCTAAGCAAAGCCTAGTAATTTTATTTATGAGACATATTATTTTAAAGTTTTATAATTCAATATTGTTGAATACAGTACTATTACTATATTTGATTATTATAGTACCTGGGGACCGAGCTTTGCTCGGAGAAAATCATTAGTTCACTCTGAAAGCAGTCTTAGTATCGGAGATACATAAATCTGTTCCCAAACTCCACACGGCTCGCCTTTACAACGTCATACACCATTTCCTACGTCATGGACCTGTTTCCCTCCATTCCCATAGCACTTTAAGATTGTAGATACCTTAATCTAATCGTTATTAACAGTTCCCACACTCCGGACAGCTCGCCTTGACTACTTCCTTCACCACTTCCAACGTAGCGGACCTGTTTTTCTCCCTTCCCATAGCATTTCAGAATTGCAGATACGTTAATCTAATCGTCATAAACAGTTCCCACACTCCATACTAATCGCCTTTACTACTTCCTTCACCACTTCCTACGTCGCAAACATGTTTCCCTCCCTTCCCATTGCATTTAAAGATTGCAGATTCATTAATCTAATCGTCATAAACAGTTCCCACACTCCGGACAGCTCGCCTTGACTACTTCCTTCACCACATCCTACGTCGCGGACCTGATTCCCTCCCTTCCCATTGCATTTAAAGATTGCAGATACCTTAATCTAATCGTCATAAACAGTTCCTACACTCCGAACAACTCGCCTTTACTACTTCCGTCACCACTTCCTACGTCGCGGACCTGTTTCCCTCCCTTCCCATAGCATTTTAGGATAGCCCATACCCTTATCTAATCGTCATAAACAGTTCCCACACTCCGGACAGCTCGCCTTGACTACTTCCTTCACCACTTCCTACGTCACGGACCTGTTTCCCTCCCTTCCCATAGCATTTTAGGATTGCAGATACCCTAATCTTATCGTCATAAACAGTCCCCACACTCCGGACTGCTCGCATTTACTACTTCCTTCATCACTTCCTACGTCACGGACCTGTTTCCCTCTATTCCCATAGCATTTTATGATTGCCTTTACTACTTCCTTCACTACTTCCTACGTCACGGACCTGTTTCCTTCCCTTCCCATAGCATTTTAGGATTGCAGATACCTTAATGTATTCGTCATAAACAGATCCTAGACTTCGCACTGCTACCCTTGACTACAATGTCTCGAGTAATCTTAAGTATAATCAATCTTTGGTATAATCTTTGCTCAATATTAACAAGTGATGTTTTTCCTTTTGTACTGTATTTGTAATTTGATAGTATACTGTGGGTAGTTGGTTTATTATGAACACGTGCTACAACTTCAAGTCTTTTGTTTACCTTTTCCTTGTTATTTAATTCAACCAACATGGTTACTTAGCAACCCATAAGACTAATGTTAAAAAAATGTGACTTTCAGTTTCGTTTTTCTACGTAATTAGATTTTTGTTGGCAGTTCTAACTGCATGAAACTTGTTTTTAGGCCAAAAATAAACTATTTACAAGATTTGAAGAAAATCGTCGGAGCCGTTTTCGAGATCTTTCTGCAAGCAAGCAAGCAAGCAAGCATACATACAAGCAAACATTGCTCGTATTAGAGTACTGTATAGGATATATTCGACTTTTTTCGAGCTAGTGATATAGTAATACACTTTTTACCGTTCTAGAGTTGAGATATAGTTACCAAAGTATGTGCTTGCATAAAGCTCATACAATAATTGACATAGGCCTACCACTTTTCCATAATTTCATACTACATAAATATTTTACCCTTTTCTTAGAATTTAAACATGGATAGAACATGATAAAACATAGTCCCTTAGTAGATTTCCCATCCTTATGGAACAGCTGAAGCCAATTTTATTGTTAGTTCCGCCCGGTTTTCTGTAGATGTCGTGTTTGGTTTACAATTTGTTTCTTGTTATTTCAGTAATTTAAACCCTAGTTTAACCAAATAAAACTGTCTAATCATAAACAATAACTCGTCCATTAGCTATATAACCAAACAGTGAGACACAAATAATGAGAAACTAACCCTAAAATAATAGAAACAGATTGTAGACAAAAACGACATCTACAGAAAACCGGACAGAACTACCAATAAAATTGGCTTCAGCTGTTCCATAAGGATGGGGAATCTAACCGTAGCATTTGAGTATTTTAGATACATTAATCCAACTGCCGCAGACGCTTCCTACACTCCGCACTGCTAGCCTTTACTACAAACATTGTATCCAGTAATCTTCAGCATAATCTTTGCTTAATAGTAACAACTGATGTTTTTGCTTTTGTACTGTATTTTGTAATTTCTAGTATACTGTGGGTAGATGCCTTTATGAACACATGTTTTAACTTACAAGTCTTTTGTTTACTTTTTCCTTGTTATTTAATTCTTCCAACATGGTTACTTAGCAACCCATAAGACTAATGTTAAAAAAATGTGACTTTCAGTTTCATTTTTCTACGTAATTAGATTTTTGTTGGCAGTTGTAACTGTAGTAAACTCGTTTTTAGGCCAAAAATAATCTATTTACAACATTTGAAGAAAATCGTCGGAGCCGTTTTCGAGATCTTGGTGCAAGCAAGCAAGCATACATACATACATACAAGCAAACATTGCTCGTATTAGAGTATAGGATTAGCATATAGGTTAATTATAACAAATGACTTTCAAACACCTGGTTGGACATCTCAAAGGTTTAGGACATTTTATTTTATCACACAAACAGTAGTTAAATGAACTCTCACAGACTAAGCTAACTGCCAAACTAATTCATCTCTTTTTTCTTTAGTCATCATTAGGTACTAGTGATGTAAACGATACTATAGTTTAAAATTAGTTGTCATTATGGTTTGACTTAGTTAACAATTATAGGGATATCCATCAGAAATTTGAATCTGTACACTTTGTCAGGGGCTCAATTCAACTAAGTTATTTATTTTATAATCCTTTATTTTTATTCATTTAAAATTTCTATTTAGCGTCCAATGTCCATGCATTATATCATATAGTTTCTGAGGAAGGTTTGTTAAACCTATCTTTGAGTATACTTTCACAAAACAAACAAGAATCGGTCTTCAACAGAAGACCTCTGAAACTGTAAAGGGTATATTAACCCTTGCTGCTCATCTATGCCGACACTCTGTTCACATTACACAAAGTCAACCAGTTGGTGTGAACCGAGTTCAGCAGAGCATCGATTTTTGAAATTCTTTTCCCAGCTGACGTGAGCTAGGCAATGAGCTACAAGCCACACATCCTATCAGTAATCAGCCAATGATAAGGGGTAATTAAGAAGATAGAGGCGGGGTGAGAGAGGAGACCTAGAGGACTTGAGGAGGAGGATAGGAGAGAAGATCGCGGGCTGCAAGGAGGTTCGGTCCCGAGTGTGTGTGCTTCCCAGGACCATTTTTATCAGTATGTAAAAGAAGAACTAAACTAAATTTATATGTAAAAAATTAAGTACCTAATATATATTGTTAATTGACACAATTTTTCTTCTTTTTACAATGTAACTTAGTATTTTGAACTTTTTTACATATTGTTATCCATTTTCCCAAGTTCATATTTACAGTTGCAACCCTCTTGTATTAACCTTTTATTTTTTATAAATTTATCTTTTTAAATTTCTTACACGTTAGTACCACCTATAGCTGTCTTATGTCTCTTTCACCCTTTTACCTATCTACAACAGCCAAGCACGGGCAACTTTATTTCAAAAGAGGCATGGGACTATATCCATGTACACAACATGAAATGAAAATTGTTCCAATTCAGGGCCCAAAATAGTCAATTAAGGGATTGTTTACAATAAGCAGGTATTTACAGTATTTTCAATGATTATTGGTAATCTGAAAGCTATATAGGAAAAGCATGAAATAAAAAAAAATAATCTCAATTACCGGTACTTTTATCCTTCTTTCAAATTACTTGACTCAATAAATGAGATGTGTATTGCTACTTTCACAATCATTCTCTACAATAGACAACAATATCACTAAGCTATTTATACAACTCCTACAAAACTTACTCAAACAAGTTCTACTGGAATCCAAAGCGAAAGAGTGAAGCCAACAGATAGAGACAGACAGGGAAAGAAGGTACAAACTAACCAACGTTACCAATAAGCGAGGCTCCCTGATCTCTAGCCACCCCCGTCAAGCTCTGGACCCTCTGCAGCAGGGACTCCCTGGTCTTGGCGGGGCTAGACGGGGCGCTGGTCGTGCGGGAACTCTGCTGCTTGGTAAGGTTCAGTGAGAGGTCCCCACTATTGGGTGGTCCTGTTCCCCCCATGGCCGGGCTAGGCCCTGTCCCTGTCGCTGTCGGTTGCTGCAGCGGGGCCGGTGGAACTCCCTGCGGTGGGGGTCCCTGCTGTGCCTGAGGATCATCGTCTAACTCCGAGGATAAATCCCCGGAGGAAAACCTGTTTACAAAGTTAGGTTAGGTTTTGTTTTTTGATATTGAGCTCTTTGTTTCTTGTATATTCATTTAGGACCAATAAATTATAAAACTAATGACATTATATATTTTATGAATTCCAGTGTTATCATTGTCTTTTGTATACTGAGGGCGAAGTAGAAATTCCATCTACTTGGACCAGCTGTCACAATTTTTTTTATCAAAAAAGAAGGTAGTTGAGTGAGCCAGACACAGTTTGTGCTGGTGTCTTAAATTCAATTTTCTACCTTAGTTTTTGTTACTTTATACTTTTATATACATTTAATATACTTAACTTTGATATGACGTTATTGAGAATCGTTATCAAGATATTTGACGTAACATAAAATATGCTATAGCTTACAATAATTCATTCTATCAAATTGACTCAGTTAAGAAGTCTGCATATACAACACAAATAAGTAATTTAGATCAGCGCAATCTATCAGTGACTCACTTCAACTTTGTCAATTTTGATAAAAAAAACTGGTGACAGAGAAGTTGGTGATAGAATGTCTTGTTGTTCTATCAATAGTCAAAGTTGTTATATCTTACTGTAATTATAGTTCCGGCTAGGAGATCTTGCCAGAGGTAGTTTAGATATCACTATACAGTATTATAAATAGTATTATATAGTATATTAATCAGGCTAGTTAGGCTCAACAGCCCAAAACTACAACACTAAACTTTTATGTTCAGTAAATAACTAAAGGTTTTAATTACTTTTTAAATGTCTTACCTTCGTTTTAAGTAATTGACATTTGTAGTGAAGGACTGTTTGAAGTTAATGAAAGAAGAAATTTTGGCGCTTTCTTGAGACAATGGAGGAAATTGACAGAGTGCTCAGCACCTGAAACAAAAGAAAAATAAACTATGGAATACCGGTAGTATTTTTAATGAGCAACAGTTGATTTGCTTGCAACACCAACAAGCAAAAACCATCATATATAGAGATTATTGACATGATATTTTGTTGATCTAAAGTAATAGTTAATGAAAAATTAGAATGTATTTGTTCTGAATATGAACTGTGGTTTATGAACAAATATTAGTCTATAAAAGAACATTAATAATAAAATGTGGATATTTTGTGTAATCAGAGCAACCTTTCTATGTAGGTGAGTCAAATGGCTCTCAGTTAGTAGCGTCACAGACTTCGGGCCCAAGGCAGTGATGTCGTGGGTTCGGATCCTGGTCACTGCCAAAAACATTTTATCAGTAGGCCTAAAGTTCACCTTGTACCGGCTCACCCCTTGCATTGCTGGATACGTTCCACTCCACGAACAGATCTGAAGTCTACTGTATGTGGACGGGCAAATGCAAGGTTTAAAGAGGCCACCAACCTCTTTTGTAAATAAAAAAAATATGTATACAGGGTGTCTTGGGTGTCATGTTAGGAACAGTCTGGCTTGTAACAGAGAATCTGCATGACAACTACAGCATTGCATTGCCAAGCATTGTATGAATATTCTCTCTCCCCCTCAACATCACATCTAATCTAGTGAAAACTTACTATCGATAGCACTATTGATAGTATCGATAGTTTAAAAATATCGATAGTGAGTCGATAGTATTGGACTATCGATAGTTTTTGTTTACGTTAAATTATGTAAAAAAATCCTTTTCCTACAGTTACCTAACAATGTACATGTTCTCTCACTGATTTGAGAAAGCAAAGTGGCCAATTCGCTCATCAGTGAGACAATGTTAACATTGTCTCACTCTAATTACTTTGTCTCACTCCAGATTTGCTACGTGAAGGCACGAAATAGTGAGCGCGTAACATGCAGGCAACGTCGTATGCGCGTGAAATACGTTGGCAGCACTGGCTGTAAATCAGCTGGTCAGCTGTTGTACTGTTGTATTTGTCACTTCACATTAAATTTTATATTAAAAGTTCACTTCTGTGTAAAAATAGGTTATGTTTCTTCACCAATTTATTTGTTTTATGGTAACTGTAGGAAAAGTATAATGTGCAACTCGAGTTCAAAGTACAATTGCCTCACTCGAGAAACCATTCCTTACTCGCCTACGGCTCGTGAGTAAGGATTTCTCTCGAGTGACTCAATTGCTCACTTTTCTCACTAGTTGCACAAATAACTATTTCTGTTACTCTCACATTTCATTGTTTGTCTGTTAATGCATACCTATTGTTAAAATTATAGCCTAAAGTTTTTTTTTTCAAAGTTTATTGTAGAAAAACTTTGTAGAAAATTACCTTCTTAAACATTTGAAAGAGGGGGCATTTGCTAATTCACTATACCAGACTTATGGGTACATTTGCCTTATGGGTTTTAGCATGGATTGAAAGAGTAGACACCGGTATACGGTAAATATTCTCTTGCCATTTTCTTTTTATTATTCACTAGCTGTACCCGCGGGCTTTGCCCCGTTTAACTTCTTAATTTTCAAGATGAACTCGTACGCATGGTCAGTCAGTCAGTGAGGGCTTTGCCTTTTATATATATAGATTTAAGAAATTATTTTATACTCACATAGCATAAATATATAATATTTTTGGTGAATAATAAAAGAAAATGGTAAAACTTATTGTTATTTTATACCAATGTTATAATATTTTGGAAAAGAAAAAATCATAAAGGAGGCACCAGGACGTCACTCACAAATTGTTAAAATTAATAATCTGATACAGCTTTATCTTCGACTAGGTAGAAACCATTGATTAAACCCATGCAGGAAGGATATACAATATTATATGCATTAAAACTCCATTTGAGATAGTAAGTTTTCACTAATCTAATCCACACCACTCAACAGATTGCAATTGGAAAATCAAACAGGCTAGTTTTCCTAGTTGTTTTATTTTCAAATATCAGCTTAAAGCTGGGTTTTCCTAGACGCGGAGTCGGCCAGCGGAGAGCGGACAACGGAGAGCGGACTCAGCTGGTCTTAGGTAATTTAATGTTACTGTTTTCCTAGCAGCGGAGTGGAATGCCATGTTAATTTCAATTCCGCTCTCCGTTGTCCGCTCTCCGCTGGCCGACTCCGCGTCTAGGAAAACCCAGCTTAAGTCAGATAAAAAAAAAAACTAATAATTTATCCAACTATTTTATTGGAGGTATCCAGAGTTGAGCTTTTAGACCTAGGCTGTATTGTTCTTTTTCTCTACAATTTCCTTCCGTTGTATGGGCATCTTTTAGAGGTTTATATACAGTGACAAAAGTAGTAGTCAATATTTTCATTATTATTGTACATTGATATGGAAACACCACCTATAGGTACATTTTTTACCCAAATATGAGCGAAGAAGAGTGTAAAGAGCTTGTAAAACATAAAGCCTTGTAAAACATAATCTTATAATCTTCTTATTACTGACTATGACCAGCCCTTTCATTAGCGGGCATTTATTAACAGACCAAAAATCAAGGACAGCTGGGTCCAGTTTCTTACCATCAAAAATGTTCCTACTTTTCTCAGGATCGATCCAGCAACATTTTGACTGTTAGGTGAGCATTGCTCCACATAAATAACAGCTGAACAATATACCCATTCAGTTTTTTGTCGTAGACATTTTTTTAAACTGTAATATTTCATTTCATTTCATTCATTATTTAGTATTAATTTTTTTTTTAAATGTTAACTTTTATTCATACACCTAATAATCACTCCTCAGAAAGGCTGCCCTAATATTCATTTTCCTAATTTATATAATTTCATTAATATGTTCAATTAATCATTAATAATATTCATTTCATAGCCTATATTTTTTTTTACAACGCCCACAACCTAATTATTTATTAAATATGTAAGAGAATTGCAATACATCAAAATTTCTTATAATATCATTTCAAAATTAGTCCTTAAGGAATCAAAATTTAAGTAGCAGTGAAAGTGATCCCATGTGTTCAACAATCAGTGATGTGAACATTGGAATTGAGAGAGAAGGAAGCCATTGAGAAGTTGAAATTATTAGAAGAAGGACTCAAAATTTTTACCTAAGTTAAATCAAATTCATTTATCAAGAATCAAGTTCATTTCAAGTTTCAAGTTATATCATATATAGTAGCCTAAACCTCAAGAGGACTCAACTCAATCATTATCTTCAAAATTAAGTATAACCTTTTCTTTAAACTCTTTTAAATTTTGTGCTAATTGGACTTACCTTTTGGACAACACCAAAATTAGATTTTTCATTGTTGGGATTTATAAGTTCAACACCTTAATTAGGCCTATTTGGACACTATTACATTTATTAATTATCAGCATTCAAGCCAGCACGACACCCTACCCTGAGAGATGTCACATCTAAATTATTTGGACCTTTAAGTTATTATTCAAATTTATTTTTATTTCAATTTAATTTCAACCCCATACACCATTGTCAATCCTTTCATTGTAACGTCAAGCCTTTTTTTCATTGCATGTTAATTGTTCATCTGTTTAAATAAAACACCTTTTGTAATCCATATCTTTGTTAACTTATTAACTTTGAACATTTATAGAATAGGCCTAGCCTAAATGAATATTTTAAGGTTAGTTTACAAATTGGCGCCCAACGTGGGGCTTGAATAGCTCATTAACTTTATTGCAATTCTCACCATAACTAGCCTATAAGTTTGTTAGATTTAAGAGTTTGCATTGTTAATTTGTCCCGTAATTGCCCCTGTTTCCCAAAATAATCAACATAACAACATCGCATATTTAATAACCACGCATGACCTAACACATTTCACATTAAAATGTCGGAAAATAAATATAATTTACGGCCTAAACGAAACTACGCGTCTCTGGATAGATTGTCGAGTTCAAGTAACGACGCCGACGATGACATAAATGACAGAACACACGGCAGCCATTTTGAGCAACGAGCAGAACAACAACAAACCCGAGAAGAAGCCTCAAGTTGCAACGACCACCAACCGTTCACCGGATCCATTGACCAATCAGACAGCGTTGATCATTCGACTTTACCCGCCTTTGTTCCGCCCGAACTGCCTCTAGCCGAAACGTCACCGACAAAAAACACAATTGTGCCGTCGTGCCGAATGCAACCGGACTTAAACGACGTTCCCCGAACCTCGACAAATGTGATATACGATATTGCAGACAGCCGTCGAACAGCTGATATAATTCAAACACAGTCTCAGTCCGTTCATAATGTGAATCACGAGCTCCTTACTCATTCCGACACTTCAACTGATGAATTAAACGTCACAAATCCTCCAGTACAGACACCCACAATCGATATGAACATGTTAGTTAACCTTATGACCAACTTGAGTAATAAGTTTGAACAAACCAGTGCTGAATTAAAGTCAGAAATAACTGCAGAATTAAAGTCAGAAATCCGTGAAACTAAAAACGAAATCCGTGAAACTAAATCAGAAATCCAAGAAATAACAAAACTGCAGATTAATCAAACTGAAGCTAAACTAATTCAAACATTTAACGATAAAATAAACGAAACCTACCAAGAAATCCAAGCTTGTAGAAACGCATTTGAATCACAAATACGTGAAACTAGAGAAAGTCAAATTGAAATAAAGTCAGAAATAAATGCCATAAAATTAACACAAAGTATTTTAACTGAAGAAACAGCTAAACTAAATGATCGGCTAATGTTAAAAATTGAAGACTCTCAAAATCAGTTGAAGCAATTTGTTGTTAATAGCATATCAAAACAACAATCTAATTCAGAAATAGAGCATAACAAATTCCAAGAACAAATAATCTCAACAGTAAAATCACAGTTAGAAGAACATAAATCTAATTTTGAGCAGAAAATAGAAGAAATCACAGTTAAAACACAACTTGACAATGAACGTAACTCAAAAATAAATTTAACTGCCCTACAAAATGAAGTATTGCCTAAAATCACCCTACAAACTAGATTAATTGAAACACAACAGCTCGAAATTCAAACTCTCAACCAAAATTTAATCAAATGTGAGTCTGAAGTAAACAACTTAAAGCAAGCTAACCCAATAAATGGACAAGCAGGTGCGATTCAAGTAATCTGTAGCGGTAATGAGAACAATGATCGTCAATTGCCGAAATTTAATGGACGAAGCGGTAACCCAATGGAATATCTGCGCAAACTTAAGCGATATTACGAGAGAGGGATCGAAAGGAATATGAACTGCGATCAAACCGAATACCTTAAAGACCTATTGGAAACGTCATTTGAAGGACCCGCATCCCGATGGTTACAACTAATCAGATCAGACATTCTTGATTGGGACCATTTTGTTAAGGAATTTGAGTGCAAATATTGGAGTCAAGCCGTCCAAAGAGGAATAAAAGCCAAGATTGAGTCTGAAAAATATCGAGCTAATGGAACCTTGAGCCGTACGGAATATTTAACAGAACGAGTACTTTTATTGCAATCCATCTCCCCTAGTTTAAGTGAAGAGGAGATCGTATCATTATTGGCAGAGCGATTCGATCCAATCATCCAGGACAGTGTTAATGTGCAAAATATCACCACAATAAGAGCCATGGAACGACTTCTACAGAAGGATGACATTCGAGACGGACCGAAGAAAGTTAAGAGCTACAACAACAGTCACCAGAACAGCAGACCGTCTAGCCCTAACATACAGAACCAGCAACGTTATCATGATCGATTTACCAACCAACAAGCTTACGTGCCCAAGATGAACCGCCAGAACTACCAACACAGCGATAACCATGCACAGAACAACCAACGTCATTGGAATCAACAAAATTACCGATACAACGGAAACAATGGTAATGAGTACCAACAGTACCAACGGGCACACCGAGACAACAAACCATACCAGCGTGACCACTACCCGGACCGGAACTATGGCCAAAACCACAATTATAATTGGAATCATCCTACTAAGGAACAAAACCAAATATGTGCGATGTTTAGACAAAATCCCAACTTGTCTATTGCCCCGACTGCTCCACCCATGGATCCACAATTAAACAGCCACCATTCAAGTTCTCGTTTTCCACAATCTCCACAGAGGTCGGAAAACCACTCGTCGTTGTAGATTACGGCCGAGAAAGAGTTATGTTGCCATCTGATCCTTCATTAAGAACAGTGTCGAAATACTTAATTATGTGATAAAAACGACTTTCTCTTAGAAGATGAATAATAAGATATTTAATAGTTTCAATTTTAATAAAGCCAGTCATCCTTGGATTATATGTACTATCTGCCCTTAAAATGGATTTGAATGTTAATACGAATGAAATAAACATGCAAATCAACAATAATAATGCTACAGTGAAGTTTAATTTGTGTCATCATGAAGGACAAATATGTCAAATAGTTGTTAATAATAATAGCCATAGGCCAAATAATAATATAAATGATAATTTTTATAATATGATGTACAATAAGTACCATAATAATATAATATATATGAATATGATAGCACAACACACAACTTCAGTGATCAACAAAGTAATCCACTAAAGGACAGCACATTGACATTTGAGGAGATTGATACATATCACCAAACACATCAATAAGTAAAAACTATTAAATAAAATGCAAAAACGTTTTCTCTGAAGAATGAAGGTATCTTATTCAGACCTTATCACATATCTGCTTCAAAATGATCATAGAAGAGGAGATGGTAAATGGTGAAGAAGATCTCGGTAACATAAACTCTCAAAACATTGTGTAAATACATCTTATTCAATCCATATTAATCAAGTGTCATAAATTATAGAGGAGATCGTCATGAACCTTAATCGCGAGTGCGTGTACCCTTTTCCCCATTTCCCAAGTGAAAACTGTGAAAACATATCCTTAACATTGCTTCTATTGCTATTCCCCTGTGTCAGGTCATGAACTATCTTAACCCTCACTAATTTCCCCATTTATGTTTGTTCCTGTGTTTATGTAAATTTAGATTAAGAAGTTTCTAAGCATCATCATCCAAAAATATCAATCATTTAAAACATAGACCAAATGGGTTTTGCAATATATTCACAAGTGAGAAAGATTAAGCAATAATTAATGTTTCTTTATCATCATTATCATTATGAGATGGGGACTCCAACTAAAGTGCGTTGTTAACCCAAATATGAGCGAAGGGTTGAATGTCGTGAGAGCTTAGTCAATAACAAAAAGCTATACAGATATATTTACAAGTTCAAACAAATAAACTATATCAATTAAAATGTGTTTGCAAACAATTCTTAAGTTAATAAAAAAACAGATCAGTACTTACAGCACTAGTGTGGAGGTGTTGTTTGAATATATTACTCAAATCAGCAGTCTGAAACATGATAAGGTAAAGGTTTAAAAAAGATAGGTAAAGTAAATGTAAAACAATACAAACTTTTCATTTGAAGATTCACTATAGGGAAATACACTGTTACAGTGGGAAGATTTTGAATAGTTGCTGGTTGAGACTTATTACCAACATTTGACATTGCACACACTTGTGATCACTTCAGGTTTATCAATATTTTAACTTAATTACATACCTATATTAATTTCCTGGGATTTTATACAAAAATGTAATCTCTCTGTTCCCTTTGTTAAAAGTATAGGCCTACCCATCATATAACTTATGGATGATAATTCAACAACTTTATCAAACAAAATTATGTTTAAAATATATTTTATTTCTTTAAAATAGAACATAATTATTCATAACAAGAATTACTGTACCATTAGGCTTGTAATACCGAAATTATGTTAAAGGTATATTTTATATGTCAAAGTAAGACATCATTATTCGTAACAAGGATTATAGCCAACCATTAGGTTTGTAATACCAAAATAATGAGCTGAATGCTTCATGTGTTCCTGAAGATAACAAGGGACTTGGTTTAGCTGTAACTTGGTAATGGAATTGATAATACCGAACATAACAACCCTGTAACTAACAAGATAAATTGTATTCGGATCGTGAATTCTTTGAACATCATTACTTTTCATAAATTTTATAGATGAGAATCTACATATTAATAGGCAAGTATGTTTCTTTAAAACCTTTTTTCTCAGCTCGTGTGCATTGTAGGGAAAATCTAAGCATACTATTAGAAAGATATTTCCCTTTACATATACAGAATCTCTTTATAAATTAAATTAAGATAAAAAATAAGCACAACAAATGAACTTGAAAACTACAAAAATTAACATGGGTCTTATGGGTTGCCATGATGGTGACAATGTACCAACGGAATATAAACAGAAAATCAAAACAAATTCCAATCGCATGTTTTATTTACAGTTTGGGGTGAAAATAGAAAAGTCTGTACATTACAAATTTTTGGTCGAGTTTTCATCCACTGGACAACCACTAGTTTGTATTATTTTCTACTGTACATGTATCGGGTAATTCACAAGAGATACTTATTGATGGTTATTGAAGTTCCTCTTTTACAGCTAACCAATTTCCTTAAAACATTGATTAAGGAATTTGGAAAATCTTACCTACAATAGGTCTCAGATTTTGTGATATGAATGCTTCTTTTTTCCATGTTAGGTTTGTTTTTACTTTAGACTGTATACGTTTGGGCTTGTACTTGTTAACTATCCACTCCTCTAAGTAAATAGGTGATTTGTGGTTTGATCTGTTTAGCAATTACATCAAGCGTACAATAATTCTGATTTTATAATAAGTAAATGTATAGAATTCAGGCAATTTAGAAGAATGTGAAAATATGTGAACATCCAACTAGTACAAGACAAACAGATCTTGAAGTTTTTTTTTGTGGAAGAAAGTTTTGTGGTTATGACAAATGATATTTCAGAATGGAATAATATATCACTTAGAAGTTTTTGTGGGAAATGGAATGATGAAACTTTGATGTGTTGAAGAAGCCTCTATTAATTTTGTGTGACTGAATGTGGAATTTTAAGCAAAATAAAAGACTCATGGGCATTTTACTCTTTAGTCATGCAAGACAGCATCTCACGCAGGATTCTTAAAGATAAAAGAGTAAAAATGTAAAGTTTCCACATTAAAAATTTTAAGAGGGTTGTTTTAATTAGTTTGTTTATACAACAGGATATCCACACCAGTGGGTTTAGGTAGCTAAACGTGTACAAACAGGTAGTAACTGCTTGATGAGTCATACCACATAAGCCTCATGAGAGTAACAATTACATGTAATTACCATGTAACCTCAGTGACCATTAGGAAGCTACACCTTCCAAAGCTATACTGTATCACAGCTTTCCAAGCTATATCACAGCTTATCTTCGTTATTGCAAATTTTCACCCTAATTCTTTAAGCTCCATATAACTTAGATTACATTGATTTATTTATGCATATTTTTACTTAGTTTCCCCTTATCTAAGTCTACAGAATATATTTTAAATATTTTAATATTAATTGCAGTGCAGTACCATACTTCTAGTGTTAAAATAACAACTGATCATAAATTAACAAAATTCCAAAAGTGTTGACCAGCTAAAAATAATATTAGGTACGTCAAAAAATTTCAAAATGTGTACCGTACCTATGGTTTGTACCTATTAAACATTTTTCCCTCTTGACTGGCAGCCAGCATCACTTTGTGACTTCAAAATCCGTGATACATTTTAAACAAATAACATTAAAATATTTTACTTGAATCTTTGCTTAAATTCACTAAAACATCACCAACTACTGTAATGATAACTCCATTTTCATGTGGATGTAAACAAAATTGTATCATGGCCATCTGTTTTGTTGTAAACAAATGTAAACTTGAAAAAGATCAGATGTAATGATAAATGACTACAGATTTCAGCACAAATTCTGAAATTTTAAAAGCCTATAGGATGAATATAGCATCCGGAGATATCATCCAAAACCGCAATAGCTTTAATTTGATACCCAATATGTATACAAGTAAATATTTAGGGGTCGATCTATTGAATAAAAAAATCCAAACAATTCTTTAACATAGATTGCTTTTTGATTTACAGTTTAAACCCAAAACCGCAAAAATTCTATACCCATACTGTATTTGAGTTTTAAATCGATATAAACTTGATATAGGATAATATTAAGATAATTTCCTTGCACATTACAATGTAAAGAAAGATATTATGTCTGGCCCTAGTCAAGTTTTTATTCTTGAACTGAATAGTGAGGCAGTTCCAAGAGCAGGATTATTCATGAATAATAACTACATCATTTACTAAGGGTGGATATGGTGGTTCACTTATAGAATGTTTTCTTTGAATCCAAATTATTATCATCAAGCTGTATATACCCTTGTTGGCCAACAGATTAAATGCTCAAGTTGAAATTGTGTTCATCTATAGTTTTTATATTTAAACCCCATCATGTAGTGTTATGAAAATACATTATTATTTTAATTCTTAAGGAAATGGTTATATTTGAAAGCAGTTGTAAAATATCGCCATAGGAAATGTATGAGACGATAATGGCCATATGAGGCACTTCAGTGGTTATCCGATGAGCTGCTAACATTAGGGATTAAATCAAAGCCTGGGCTTTCCTCTGATCAGGGCCATCATCACATTACTGACAACTTTGTTTCGTAAAGTGTGAAATTCTAAACCATCCTGGTTCTACTATGCATTTAACTTTAATAAAAATGTAGGGAAAAATTATAAATTCTGTTTCAATTGAATATTCATAAAATACCTATGCTTTATATATATTGTAAGGAAATATTATTTAAATCCTCATGTGGAAGTTTTGATTATTTAATACCTCAAATTTACACTGTTTACCATACCGGTAAAACATGTTATCTTAATACTATAATTTCACTCTTCCAAAGTTCACAAAAGGAAAGACTCTTTTATAGACCTAAACGTTTGTGCTTTTGTAAAGAAGATATTATTTTAATTATTTTCTGCAATTTTGGCTCCGCATATACTGTATTTAATTTTCGTAAATACAGTCGTTGAAACCTCAAACTATATCAATTATCAATCATTGAGATGGGGACGCACACTAGGTGAGTATTTTAACCCAAATATGAGTGAAAGATGAGTGTAGAATGGTGTGTGATGATCTGTGTAGCTTTGTTACTGATCAGCGGTTTCATTAGTCAGGATCATTTATTAAAGCCCAATGATCAGGAACAGCTGGGTCCAGTTTCGAACTATCAAAAAGCTACTGACTTTTTTTATATAAATACCATAAAAAAGTCAGTAGCTTTTTATATAAAGAACAATATAAATATACAGTTCTTTATATAAGTTTCTGCTTAGTATCATTCATTGTTCCAGTAGTAAAATAATAATCATGGTTTAAGAGTACAGAACTTAAAAACTTGGGTAGCCAAGTAGCGAGCCTGAAGGATGGGGATACAGGGTCGATATGGATCCTATATTCATGAGTTGCCGACGGTCACTAAAGATAGCGTTCAAGTCGCACTCTTCAGCATGCTTTATCAGGATTCAGGATTCAGGAGATCGCCGAGACTGATCTATCAAGATTCAGAAACAACGCGTGAAGACTGAGAAGGATTGATCAGGACTGAGATATCAGTAGAACAAAACTGTGACAAATTTTGGATCCTGAAATCAGGAGTGTGAAACTGTCTGATTTAAATCTGGTAAAAAATAAAATTGTCGATTTTAGCTACTAACTGTCTCGTGGATTCAGGAATAAAGTAGTGTGGCGGGAGATTATACATTTTCAGGAATCAAGGTAAGTATCAAACCCGTCGTACAGTATTTAGATCAATGGATGAAAGTACCGGTACTAAAAGTAACTGAACACGGATTCTGGATTTGAAACAGGTAACGAAATTGATATACTGTATATCAGCATTTATAATTTAAATATTTTTTAATAATTACTTAACTCAAAGAGAGAATTTATTACTAAAAATAAACACGTCTGCTTAAAAAAAACGAGGTTGCCAATAATGGCACGAAAAAATATTGAATGATTAATACAGAGATTGAGGATAAGTGAAATTCGAAGATGTTCCGAGGCCAAATAATCAATGTTGAGGAATCTAACACAAGCACCAAGAAAAACACATTTAGATAGACTAGAGTAGCCTATAAGTAAGAATATAAAAATTGTATTAAATAATGGGGGAAAATCTAGAATAAGTAACAACAATGTTGATTCAGTGATTTTGTGTATAAATGATTTAAAAACAACAACTTCCGTGGATTCATTGTTATAGTACTAAGCAATGAGAAACAAGTACTTAAATCGACCTATCAGATTAATAACATGGATTTTAAAACAAGCATCGATATTGATCCGAGCATCCTGGAATTATAAACAAGTCATACCGAGAATGAGGATTCAATATAGAAGAGCTGATACCAAGAATGCT